TGCGATTTGGTGTGTGTGGGTTAACATGGGCAGTTTTGCACGGATTTGGTGGCGATTTTGTGGCGCTTGGTGGCTCAATTGCAGGCTGTAGGTGGAACGGTGGTGGCGATTTGGTGCGGTGGTGGCGATTTGGAACGAAGGAGGCAGTGGCGGAACTAACGGGGGGCTGGCGAACGGAAGGGATGGTTTTTCAGGGGGTTGGGGGGAGGGGAGGGGTGGTTTTCGGTGTTGCTGGAAAAGGAGATAGGTGATTTGCTAGAAAAGGTGGAGCAATGGTGGTGGTGGTGGTTGGGAAGAAGAAAGAAAGAAGGTAGGAAGAAGAAGAGTGAAAAATCGGGGAGAGAGAGTGAGAAATCCGTAAAATAGAAGAAAAAAAAGGAAAAAAATAAAAAAGTGGGGCCCACCGACGGAAATTCCACCGGAAATTCTAAATGGGTGGCAATCTGAGCGTTTTTTTAAATTAGTGGGTGGTATTTTACAATTTTTTTTGTTTTGGGTGGTTATATCAAAATAGGTATACTTTGTGGGTGGTAATTTGCAAATTTTCCTCTAAAAAATCTATAGTTTCATAGAGGAAACCGTGAACAAACAATCACAATTCAACACATCACAATAGAGCTCGACTTTAACGACTGGCTTCATAACAAAGGAAAGAAAAAAGTTCAACACATCATCTTTCGAGATGAAATTCGAAATTCTAGCACATAGTGGCTTACAAACAGTCAAAATAACAGCATTAATATTAAAAAAAATGATAATGTTCATCAAAAACCCAATTCATAAATGACAAGAAAAATCAAATGCAACATAGATATTACTGATCAAACAAAAATTAGGAAAAGAGAGTATACCGAAGCAGCAGATCAAGACCCAGCTGAATCCCAGCGCTGTATTAATAAGACCAAGTCAAATTCAAATTTTTCAACAACAATAATCAAGATTCAAGAAATGGGGATCTACAAAAAATCAAATAAATGAAGAAAATTCAAACTTTTGAAATACATGGATCCCAAAAAAAAATGCTAAAAAATTCAAAAAAAATTAAAATGAAAGCAAGGAATAGATGAAATGAAGAACCTGAAAGTTTGGTCAGATCTGACTGCTTAAGGTAGGAGAGAGAAAAGGGGGGTTGAAAGAGTAATTGAATTGAATGTTGTAAAAATGAAAATAAGAAAAACAAATTTTCGGAAGAAAAAGAAGAACAAAGAAACTCTGCCTATTTTCTTCTATACGAGTTGAGTTGGGGATGAGAGAGAAAATGAACAGAGGAAGACAGCGCACCTTCAACGCACACTTTTTGGGAATTGATTATTCTTTCGGCTAACTTTTTACTATTAGGAATTTAGGAGTAGCATCTTAATGGTTAAAATGTAAAGGGAAATTCTTAGAGGTGTCAAATTAGATATCCGTATGAAATTTGAGTTGATTCATGATGGGTCGGGATATTTAGGTCGGGTACTGATGGGTCATTTTAACTAACAAATCAAATCAAATTGGTTTGAGCTTATTCAGATTCGGGTTAAAATTAAGAGTTCAAGCATGGTCGGATACAAATCGAATTTGGGTCAAGTCAAATTCGGGTCAAGTCATATCGAGTTAAAATGAACTCGGATCCGGATTTGATCGGGTTTTTGGGTCCAAATGGATTTATTTGACTTTGGATCGGGTCATTTCGAATTCAATTAGTTCTCGGTTCAAATCAATTCAGTTTCGGTTAAAATTTGAATCTTGTTACTTCGTTTATTAGCTCATTCTCATTAAAATTACTTTAGTTCAATTTCGAGTCGACTAATTAGAATTCGGGTCAATCTCAGTTTAAGTCGTTTTAGCTATATTAGAATACATGTCATGTCATTTTTGTTATTAGAGATTTTCATTCATAAATAGGTTGTTGGGTTTCATTTAATTAAGTTTCGTATTGGCTTAGCTTATTAGAATTGTTATAAGATTGACAACTCAAGTTATTACAGAAAATGACTATTTATCGCCTTGATCGGGTGATTATCACATCATTGTAAAATGTTTTTTTTCTTACCGTTTTGCGTTTATCGTCGTCTTTACGGCTATTTATCATCGTCAATTCATTGGCAAATTTATTATTAGAAGTATTAAGATTGTTTATTATATATTAGCATCTAAATTTCGATTAAGAATACAATATATTTTCAAATTTTAATAATAATTGATTATTTGTTATTGACTTATTGTTAATGAAGTTATACCCCCCAATTCGTAATAATCGCAACAGATTTCTTTTACGTTGGTTTCATAATAATATTAACACCTTAATTAGTAAGGGCACATAACAAAGGGTCAATAATGAATAAATGTTACTTGAGTTTGATGTATAACTAAAATAAGTTTGAATAAAGCTGAATAAAGGATATCCGAATTTAAATTAATTACCACTAAAATAACCTATAATAAGGTCTAATAAGTTAAAGTATGTTTAGATAAGGGTTTGTTCAATTCACCTTATTTTCTCATATTTTAAGACTATAAGTTCAAATAATATCATGTAATTTTAGATAAATTTATACAAATTCAGATTAGTTCAAATAAATTCAATTAGTTCAAATAAATTTAAATAAGTTTGAAAATTTTCAAATACATTCAGAAAAGTTAAGATAATTTTTTAAATATTCAGATTAGTTCAGATAATTTATGTTATAAATTTCAAATTTTATACATTTTAGGAACTTTTTATATATTTTTTTTTTATTAGGAACTATATTTTATAGTATAATGATAATTTAGGATTGTTTGACGTTAGAGTATTAAAATCATGGACTAATATATCAATCATTGTACCAACCCTATAATGTTGACTCCATTCAAACACTCTTATTGCTTTGCCGCACCACTCTTTACTTTTGTAGTATCTCAATCTTTCCTATAAATTAAAGGTTTTTTCATACCATTTTATTACCAATTACCATTCCATTCTTTGTTTCCCTTCTTTGTTCTCTCTATAATTCACAACTTGGATCATGAATTATTATTGGTCTACCCTATTACCAATTACCTTAGTCATGTCGAGTTATGGTCATGGAAAATTTAAGTTAGCTTAGGTTAATAATAGGTCGAGTTTAATTAAATCATGAGTATTTTCGGGTTGATTTTAATTGGGTCATGGGAAGTTTCAAATCGGCTAATTAAAGTTCGGGAAAAGAGGTCTTTTTCAGGTCTATATGGTTTCAAGTCGATTTCGTTTTAGGCTAGATTGAATTCGGATTTTATATTATCGGATTTTATTGGTTTCGGATTAAATATGAGTCGATTCCAAGTTGGGTTTGGATCATAAATTATCGGGTGGAGTCGGTTTCGAGATACATCGGGTCGACTCTAGATCGAATTCGGATAAGAAAAACCCGGGTCCAACTAGTTCGAAAACAGTTCGGTTTCAGGTAAACCTTTCGGGTCGGGTAAGTTTTTGACACCCCTAGGAAATTCTACACAGGGTAAAGCTAAACCAAGCAAATGGCTGGGGTTTGTTTTGCCAGCACAAGTTGTAGCGGGGTCCACTTTTGTATCTGGGCGTATAACCATACTCATGCGTATATGATGTGGTAAAGAAATATGTATTGGCGCGCTTCCCCATGCCATTATAATTAATTTCCCGTTCCAATTTCCATTCCCCTTACTTTCCCTTTCCATTTCCCTTTCCCTTTCCCTGTCCAACTAAAGTTTCATCTCCATTTTTCTTGTAGTTTGTCGTGAGTTGACTAGCGGCGCGGTAGGGGGTTGTGAATCCGGTGGGTTGTGGTCGGATTCCATTAGATTTGGTCTGGTACCGTCAATTGGCGGCATTAGTGAAAATATAGCGGCGAATTTGGTGAGTAAAACTTCAGTTGTTGTGTAAATTTAACATTCAATCACTGAATTAGCTAAATTTCAGTAATTGTATAATTGAATTCCAAGAATTTGAACAATTCACTTGCTAATTGTATACTGATTTATTGATTGTCGTCAATGATTTTGACATAATTTGGTCTATTTTGTTGGGATTTTGGATATTGATTTATATTTATTATTTTAGGATTGAGGAATGTGTTGTTCATGATTGACTATGATAATTCTGCAAGCAAAATTAGTAAGCATTATAAATTTAATATGACAATATTAAAGATATAAATGACAAGAATTCTATAAACAAAATGTCTTAACCGTGGCACTTTAAGAATGTAATATGCATTGTCATGCTTTATTTGAGCTTATTTCTTAGAATAAGATTAAGTTATTGCTATGGCAGCGTGTGATATATAAGAATGAGTTGTTATTGGAACAATGCTTTTGGTGGTTGTGCCTAATAAGTAAATAAAGAAAGAATGAGCATGTTGCTACTTGTTGTTGTTTTATGTTTGAGCATAAGCATGTTAGCTTTTACATTGGCTTGTCAAAATTGGCCAAAAATTTATGTTTGAGCATGAGCATGTTACATAAAACAATTATGCCCATTTCTTGATGCTTCTTTACCTGATCACCTTAGTTTACCTGATCACCTTAGTTAACAGGTAGTTTACCTTGATCCTGGATAGTATGCTTAATTAAGTGAGCAGATGAAGGTGATTACACTTGATAAAGGCCTAGTTTTTTTTTTATTAAGGCTTAATTATTTCAAACACTGTTGTTATATATATAACATTGTAATGAGAAATGTGAAATTAATTTTTTGGCAGCAAATATGGAATATGTGCAGGAGGAGGAGAAAGTAGTTGCACAAGATGTTCCTTTATCAATTGATGATGATGATGAAGAAATGTTGCAGCTTATAAACTATGATGGAGAAGGGGTTGGTGACAGCGGTGACTCAAGGTCTATAGATGAAGCTAGAGGGGAGGTGGATAGAAAGGGGAATGGTGGAGGTAATCTGGTGGATTTGAGGTCTTTGAATGTCGACCCTCCTGAAATAGGGATGATATATGATTTGTTGCAAGAAATAGATGTTTATTTCAATGCTTATGGGAAGTAGCAAGGCTTTAAGGTGGTACGTGACCAAAATGCCTACGACTTTAAAGATAAGTAAGATAAAACGGGCAGTCACATGCGCTGGTAATTCTAACACTCGAAGGAAGGTTGCTGGGAAAAGAATTGCTAGGGAGTTGGAAGGGGAACCTATTGCCACTAAAAAGTCTAAAAAATGTGGTTGCGGGGCAATGGTGTATGGTAGCTTGACTTGTAATGGGAAATGGGAGCTTAAGAAAGTGTGCTTAGAGCATAGCCATACTCATTCCCCATCAAAGTCAATGATCGTGACTGAGTATAGATTAGAAGAGTTGGAGAAGGTGTCGTATATTAGGCGTACACTCCACTTTGGTAATGTTGTTGGGTTTCCTAACGCGAAACTCCATAGGTGGTTGGCTAGTGAGCGGAATGGATATGAAAATCTTGCTTTCACCACAGTGGATTTGAATAACTTGGCCGCGAAGGAGAAGAAATTGAAATTTAAGGATGGAGTCGCAAATGTGATGATGAATTATTTTAAAATGATGCAGACAATAAGAACTTTTACCATGTACATTGGTTGGATGGTAATGGCATTCTTCAGGATGTGTTGTGGGTTGATGCACGTAGTAGAGCTACGTATGAGGATTTCGGTGACGTTGTTTGTTTGACACCACTTTCCTTATGAATAAGTATGACTTTCCCTTTGCAAATATTGTTGGTGTTAACCATCGCGGGCAAACCATATTACTTGGTTGCGCCTTAATCTCCCACGAGGACACTGAAATCTTTAAGTGCGTTCTTCCTTAATTTATTTTATTGTTTTTATTGTTAGATAATTCAATACTATGTGGTGATGATGATAACTTATTTATTTATGCAGGCGGGTGTTTTTGACATGGCTTGATGCTGTTGGTGGCTCCCCTCCTATGGCTATACTGACCGACCAAGATTCGACAATGCGCAAAGCATTGGAAGTTGTGATGCCACAAACCAGACACGGATGGTGTTTGTGGCACATTACAGAAAAATTTAGTGTCAAGTTAGGGAAGTGTAAGGGGTACCTAGATTTTAAGGAGGAACTGAGGTGGAAGGAATTTATTCATCAGCATAAATTAGTTAGTAACATGTGGCTTGCTTGTTTGTATGACGAAAGGGAAATGTGGATTCCAGCTGCAATGAAGCATTTGTTCTGGGCTAGAATGAAGACTAAACAAAGGTTAGAAAGCATTCATAATTTTTTTTATGAGCTATTTTACAAGAACATTGGACTTTGTGATTTTACCGAGAAGTATGTGGCTGCTATTGAGCAGCAAATGCAGTCAAAGAGGCTGGCAGATGGTAAGTCTACTGTGTACTTACGTGATCTAGTGACTGATTTCAAGTTTTAGGAAACGTTCCGAAATGTGTATACTGATGCAAAGTTTATGGAGGTGCAAAGGGAATGCAAGAGGCTTATGTACTGCACTAGTAGTAGCATGAATGAGATATCTCCAAGCTATTTTGAACATCTAATAAAAGACAGAGTTTATGTGTGGAATGATTTTGAGAAGAAGAAGAAGTCGATCAACAAGTGGCGGGCTTACCGCGTTTTATACTACAGTGAAGATCAGCAAGTACAATGTGAGTGCAAGTTGTTTGAATGCTCTGAGATTCTTTGCAGACATTGCCTAAATGCTCTAGAAATGCAGCAATTGGTTGATGTGCCTAGTAGGTACATATTGGATAGATGGGGCAAAGACATTTACCGGAAGCACACGAGGGTTAAAGTTGTCTTCCATGATCCAATAAAAACTCAAGAAGTTGTTCGATATGACAAATTGATGTTGGCATTTGAGCCTTTGTCATGTCTTGCTAGTGACATGGACGAAACTATGCATATTGTTATTGAGGGGTTGAAAGAGTTGGAGATGAAGGTCAAGGAAAAAACCACACCAGCCCTTCCGATAAGTAATGTTGGGAAGACTGGGAATAGGATTACTCCTCCGAGTGTGAACAAGAAGAAATGTGTTGGTCCATCGAGACAAACTCCATCTTCAGTTGCTAGAAGTGTAGTTTATGAAGCTGTTGGAGTGGAAAGTGATGAATGCAATCCACCTCTTATTGAACCAAACCCTGTGAGCATCAAAGATCCTCCTAGAAAGAGGGGTCCAGGTTGTGTGCAGTCCAGTCGGTTCATGATAACAGTTGAGGAAGATAGAAGAAGGAAGAGCGGAGGAAAAAATATGCAGCTAAAAAGGCTCGAGAGGAGCATGCGAGAAAGAAGGCTGCAACGAAAGAAAACACTAATGAAGGTGTTCAATCTCCGCAGTCTCCATATACCTTTACAAACTCCATTAAGGTATTATTGTGTTTAGTACCTTGTGATTATAAACACTAAAGTAGGTAGCGTAATTAACATAATATGTTAATCCATGCTGGTTAGTGACACGGTTGGCAACGATATTATGGTAAATCTCGGTTACTACTAGCATTTTACACCACCAATCTTTCCAGTTTTGTTTCATTCTTGTGTTTCTTATTCATTTCTCGACGATTTATAAGTTTTCTACCATCTAATAATTATTAGAAATGAATCTTCGACATAATCATAGGCAACTATAGTTTTCATTAATTGTTTACGTTGTTTTTTTATATAAATTTGGTATTGTAATAAAATTTAAACTAAGATTAGTTTTAATTTTGTCACATTTTACTGTCAAATTACTATTTTAGGATATGCCTTCCCCGTCCTTCGTCCCGCCAAATCAGTTTGTCGGTGTTGATGTTGACATGGAAGGATATGAAGATGATGTTAATGCAACTTCAATTTTGCCCCCCATCTTTGAAGATGATTTCATAAGAAGACATGGTCTTGAATAGAGTTGATTACATGTATTAAATTATTTAATACATTGATTATCTGGTTAATGTTGTAGGTTTTTGGTTCATTTTGAAGGCTTAATCGTTAACATAATGTGTTAACTAATACGATGTTCATCTAGATTAATTTTGGCTGATTATAGTTCTCATTTTGTTTAGAATTATATTATATTGTATATATGATATTTCATTGAATTGTCAAACCCATTTTGTTTTTTTGTCACATTGAATAAGTGTAATGTCATTCACACCAATTTTTTTTGGTTTTCCCTTTCAAATCAAACCCATTCATTGGTTTAAAAAAAAAAATCAAACCCATTCATATTGTCAAACCATTTTCTTCTGCTGTCAACATGACTGATATTGTCATTCACTTTTATATTCATGTTGTACATTTGTCATGTATTGTAGTTTCAGGGATTGTAAACATGTGATGTTGCACTTTCAGGGCTTGAAGATGTTATATTTTGGACTATATATGTTTGGACAATATATATTTGATTCTTTGATTTGAAGTAACAATACACTTACTGTAAGAGTACAACAGTAAATTGTCACTTCAGTCCAATTCTTGTCATTTGTTATCCGGTATCGTAATCCAAATTTGAATTCATTTGACCTTGCAAATTTAGCTATAAAGATTAGATATTTTCATCACCAAATAAAAAAAAATATGTCACACCGTTACTTTTCAAACAATCCTAAGTATCCTGCTAGTTGCCATGGTATGGAATCTCCAATGGAGATCTTGTACTTTGGACCAAATACTTTAAATACCACTGAAATGGACTTTAACAGCTACAAGTACGGGTTCACAAAGGTAAATGAAGAAGGGGTCATCCTGTTTAAGGCTGTGGACGATGCCGATGTGAGAGCGCTGCTTAGGAAACCGGATGTACCGTGGCCCATGTAAATGTCGCGATTGCAAATGATTTCAGAAGCAGGTACCATAACACCTGCTCATCTTCCAAATTATAATGTCATATGTGGAGTTGTTCATCCCTTTGAAGTAAAAAGTATTTTCGATAGTTTCAACTATGCTGCTTTGAACACGATCTCTAAAATTGTTCCTCCATCCCTAACTATATAGCGGATCCTTTGCCCTTTTTAAATGTCGATTTTCCTATTTATCATCTCTTTTCAAACCCTGTTTTAGTTAAAATTGGGTGTGTAACTGATGCCCTAGCAGTTTTCCACATTCATGGTAATATGAGTAGTCTTCAATTTGGTGTCATGCAAGATCACCAAACAAATATTTGCCTGATTCTCGTTATTATGTTATTCGAATTACCCCCAAATACAATAATAACTCACCTATTTTACCATATGGAACTCCAATTGTAATATGGAATGTTAGAGATGTTGCACAACCGTTATTTGTCAGTAATATGGTGTCATTACATGTTAACATAAGCCTGGTGTTTTAATTTTAGTTGAGACTCGTAGTCACTACAACAAATGGATACACATTCATAAGAAAATACTATGCTCTAAACTGGTTGAACATGGGCACCATGGCGTGGGCTTTAGTGGTGGTGTCATTACTATTTGGGATACGAAATCGATTGACTGTAAAACCATGTTCGTGGGAATGCAAGGCGACATAGTTCTTAGAGCGGGAACAATTGAGGTATTTCGTATAACTTTAATATATCTATTCTCAATGTAAAACCATGGAAATAATATGTCATTAATTTGAATTTGTAACTAATTTCAATTTTTGTAATCACAGGCCCCTGACACAAACGAGGTCATAGCTGGATCATCTGCTGGGCTTATTTAGCACGTGTAGACTTCAAAGGCTTTTATTCATTTCATTTCATGTATTTTTAATTTTAGGCCTCCACTTTATGTATGTTTTGATTTTGTGGGCCTATTGGTTTATGTATGTCTTGATTTTGTGGTTTCGTGGGCTCTTGGTTTACATGATGTGGCATCTTGAGTGGCCTATAGGTAATGTTTTATGCCGTCAATGTTATGCGCTTGTACTATGTAATGGGCCGATTAGATTGTTACCATTAATTATTATTTCGATTGATTATATATGCTCAACCATTGCAACTTTTCAAACCATCGTAACTTTTCAAATCATGATTTTTGATCAATATATATATGTGTACATATAAACTTCCGTACACTGATCAATTCACATAATGACGAACAATAGTCAAGATGATATGAATAACTCGAAAAGAAGAAAATCTGACATTAATAAAACTTCTAAAAAACAAGGGAAATATGCCAACTGAATAAAACGAGGATCCAAAGGATACATGCCCAACGGGGAGGGTATGTTTAATAACAATGTTTATCATTTGAATTACTTCCAATTTGAATTATTTCTAATCTGAATTTATTTAATATTGCCATGGAAATAATAGGGTTGCTTCACCCAAAAAAAAAAAGGAGCCTAGACGAAGGAGAATGTTCGTACATGAACAAGTTTGTTTGCCACTTTATAAAAAGGCTTCAAAAACAATGGAAATGGACCGCATGGGATGGATCTCCAAAGCCTAAGGGGTTGTATTTTCAGTTATGTGACCGACATGAAATTTTACCCGAGGATATGAAACAACTGCCGCATCACATTTTATTGCAAGAATCAATTATGCAAAATATCTGGATAAAATTATGCGAAAAAGATCTAGCGCAGTACATGGCTTTGTGTAGAGAATGGGGAAGAATCATACCACATTGGAGGCATACAATCGCTAAAGATCGATGGTATCATCATGGGAGAACAATTGGAAAGGGAATAACGATTCCTAATCCGAGTTATGATGATTCAACAACCGATGACGCATCATCCGAAGATGAATGATCAATTATATTACGTATTTTAAATTCTCAACTTCATTTTAAATTGTAATGATAATAATTCTTTATGTAAATATTTCAAATAATGATTTCTTCATCTAATTATGTGAATAGTTAACTATGTACAGTTGTTATTTTATTCGTAAAGATAATCGATTATTTAGATAACTGTTGATTTGGGTAAAAATACCCATGCTACGTGGCCCAATTAGAAGGGGACATGTGTCACCCCAAGACAGGTCTAATAAGGGCCACTCACCAGCTGACACGTGGCACCCCCAATCAGCAAAGGAAAAAGGCGTCCTTCAGGGCCTAATTCCCAAGAAAGCCGTAAAATGGTGTAGCCCACCAAATCTAGGTCAAGATGACCTAAGAGAGGGCACATTTCCCAATGACCCTATAAATAGGGAGATTTCCCCCATTTCAGGGGCACATTCATTCATTGCAAACACTAAATTCTCTCACATTAGAGAAAACACCCGATCTCGGAATCCAAGAAGATTTCACTTTACCTTTTCCGCACCTTTTTACATTGTTCGACTGGTCCTAACTTGATCATCGGAGGCGGAGCTCCTTCCACCTGCAGTCTCCTTTATCTTGCAAGTACAGGCGCCCAGAATCCAAACTTAGTGACATAACTCTCCCGAGGGACACAGAAAACCCCAAAACATTTGGCGCCGTCTGTGGGGAGAGTACCTCTAAGATGGTTTCA